CTGGTCACTCTCTGGGTTCCTTTAAAGTTAACTCCCCTGATCTGTGTGGATCTCTTCAGGTGCTCCAAACTAGGCTATCCAGTGCTCAGTCAATGCATCAGCTGACAATTGTACTGAAGTATTAATCAAGGGATAAGTTTAAGCCCATTCATCAAGTAGACAATGATATGCAGGTGACCTTGTTCTATTTATGGGAGAGGAAGTGATATCTAAGGCTATTCTCTGCAAGGAAGAAATCTCTCCTGGAGTTTACACAGTTTAGGACAACTTTATCTCTGGGTGGCACATGCCATACATCAGCACCAAACATCACATTTTGAACATGGCCAACTGAACCACCACCAAATGTTTACACAAATGCAAGTTTCACCTCAATGCCCTCCAGTCTTTGTGTTATGTAAAGCCTGGAGAATATTGGGTCTCAAAGTACTAAGCACCATTAGCTGTAACAAAGAATGCAAACAATGGTTCAGTGATTGATAACAATGGTATAGCACATCTTCATGAACACCCATGCTAGATCTAGATCCTTCAATTCCTCATTCTGTCTCTGACATTCACAGAACAAGTCACTTTCAACTGTGCAACAGGTAAACTTATGATCCACATATAAAAAAGACATCCAGTGTCAGTAAGACTGGACCCAGGAACAGTGTACTGTATAAGCGTATGTGGAAGAAGAAGTAACAGGATGTCCATGTATACAATGTTTCACTATGGACAAAGACTAGGGCATCAATGACATGCAACTTGGTTAGAGTCCATGCATGAAATAAATCATTTTCTTGCCATATGGGAAAAACCTGTCCACTCACTGAATTTCCTGATCCTGGTAGTTGAAATAATAGTGATGAAAATTCATACAGTAGGAGATCCCTAGCTGATGAATATGATGATTAACACTTTGGGAGTTACTCCTTCATTCATTATAATGAAGTTGATGCTGACTGGACTGAGTGGTAGTTTTGCTCAGAGCACCTCATACACCAAAAGATCACAAACCCATATCTCTCATCTTTGTACTCTGCCAGGCACATACCAAGACTTACCTAGTCCTGAGCAAGCTGGGCTTACCATCAAATCTTTCAGTGCAGGCCTCACGTTGAATTCCCCAAAGTCGGTGGTAGGCCCAACTTGGGTGCTGTTAGTTTCTCGTAACTATATCAGTATTGTTTATTGCCTTTTGTTGGCTCTGCTGCACCTATTAAGCATTGGTCAACCCTTGATACCCTAATATACTTTGCTTTATACAGACACAAAAAATATATAAAAACAAAATGCACGGAAGATCTAGGACAAAGCTTAAGAAAGAAAAAAATACTAATAGGATGACAATAAAAACCAGGAAAACTTCAATTTGGCACAACTTTTCTGGCCTATATCTTTCTTCGGATGATGTCTGCTGAAGTCATATATACAGAAAACATTCGAATATCACATAACAATACAAGTAAACAACAATCTTTATCAATTCACAAAGACAGTATGGGTACTTGCTTTACGGACACAGAGTGTGGCTTCTACTGGATCAGATAACTTCTTTACACAACTGATTAGGCTGTAACTTAAACATAACAAATATATCACCTGGACTGCCACTGAAGAAAACTGTTTATATTCTTGTATTACAGCCATTCCATCTATGGGAAGAACAGATGCTGATCTCAACAGAATGACAAAGAATAAAGGCAGCTAGAATAAAATTAGCTTAAGGACTTTCTTGACTGTGTGTTACATCAAAACTGCACATAATCAGAAAAAACTGATAACTTCAAAATAGATACTATATTAATACAAGAGGATAGAAAAGCATGGTATATTTATACACCCCAGTAGCTTGGAGTTGAATGGAGGCCAAGTGGGGTAAAAGATCATGCCTGATCACTAGATACCAGTGTTATCATGATGCAATGCTGAAATGTGTTTGCTGCTGCTATGAGCTTTTTCTCTTCTTGCAACTTGTTCAAAGTTACCACTTGAAATCTCATTATGGTGGGCATTGCCTGAGTGAGGATGAGAATTTTTTCACTCCAAAGTAGTGTTGCTTCAATTTGCTTAGTAATCACTCTGTTTCCACCATAATGTCGCAATCTGATGAATAGGTTTTCTTCAACAGCCGGCACTCATCACCCATGTAAGCACCCAAGCTCTTAGATAGACCACTCATTTGAGACTTCAATTAAACTCGGTTAAATGGATAGTTCAGTTTTTTACAAGGTAAAAGTATCATGGCAGCTAAGGTGGTAACTGTGCCCCAGTCCCAAAACTCAGATGTTAGGCACTGCATCACCTGCTTCAGTTGATCCATTTCAGACAGTGACCTGCATCCAACTTCTACATTGCCATTCACTTAATGATTGGAGGTGAGATCTGCTTCACTTCTCTCACAAGTGCTTGTGATCTCGGCATAAACTTCTCATCCTCAACCCCATGGGTTATGCCATGTAGATGCATTGTGACCACCAGGGATATGGTGGGATGGGCTGGTGCAATAAGTCCATGTATTCAGACAAGTGCTAGATCCTTGTTTCTATGCCATGGAATGGCAGAGTATTTGCAGTACCTCACCAAGTGGTTCAGTGCAACTCCAGGATCCATTATGACCAGTAGTTGCCCTAGCAGTAGGCACTGCTGCCTGAAAAGGCTCAAAGCTACCCCACAAATCAAAAGCTTCACCTGTTTTATTTGCTGTTGGGAAAATCATCCACTAATGGCATCCCTGGGCTCTTCTTGATGAGTGGTGGTACTGACCAGAGCAGCTCTACTCTGGTTGATATTCACTTAGGGGTCCTATAGAGATACCTCTATCAGTCTTGGCCTCATCCTCTGTGCACCACTATGATAATCCTCAGTTGACTGTGCCTCATGTGTGCTAAAGACCAACTTTATGGAGAGAACTTCCTCAATCACTCTGTTTGCTCCAGATAGTGATGATCATCCTTCCTTGGGCACTGGTCAAAGGGAGGAGGATGTTTGTCAGAGACTTTTCCAGCATCTTTAAAATTTGACATCCAGAATAGGGCTTTCCCTAGACCTGATGATTTCCCCTTACAACTACTCCTCTCAAGCAGCTATATCTTCCTTTCGACCATAAGTCCTTTGCCCAGAAAATTACATTCCTTAGTAAAGTTCTAACTCAAAAGTACAAAAGTCTGAAGAGCATGGGTAACAGGACACTTGACCAGAGAAAACAGACCTCTGCAATAACAGTATCCATAATCAGTTAAACAAAATTTCTCCTTCCTACCTACTTTGTGGTTTTTCTCAAATTGACTTAATATCCCTAAGAGTAGACTGTAGGAATAAAAAAACAACAGAAGGATCTAACAGATATCCTTTTGCAGAGCAATGCCACATTGTATCTGCCTACATCCAAGTCTTAATGAAAGAAAAGAGACTGGACATCAAGTGTAAAGAATGACAAAAAAAATTAAATTGGCTTGGGAGAGATTTTTATTTATGGTCTCTCACCAATTTATGTGTTTGACGAACCTTGGCGAGTCTCAGCAAAATTTGGAATTTCTATGTGTGTCTACAAATACATGTGATGTATTCAACACACAAAGTACATTTCTATTAAAATGCTTAACAAAAACAAAGATACTTCATGTGGGTATGCTTCAAACAAAACAAAAACATTACATACACAACACTCTCCCTTCAAACATGCTATCTATGTAACTGAGGGCCACTTTCATGTCAATAAGGGGTGAAAAATGCCATATCACTACTTTTATTCATAGCATAGTTCATACTAAGTGATCTCTTATAAAGTAAAAACACATGTGACCATGAATAGCCAAAATGAGAGGAACTTAGTTCCCTTGACTTATGTTATATATAATAAAAATAGACCTACAACACTGAAAATTTGAATAATTATTTAGCAACTGAGAAGGTATAAAATACATGATATGCCAATATATCACATATGTTAGTCCACTTTTCCAATATAGAAATTTTCAATAATATACATATCATTAAACTAATATAAAGATCCACACTAACTACTTAAGCTGATGCCAGAGTGAGGTATACTGTAAAGACCAGTGTTCGATTACTAGCAGGCATTTCTGTAAAATGAAAAGCAACCAAATAAATAAATAAGCAAGGGGGCTGATAAAATTAATTTATTATCTTTACATAGAATATGAAAATTAAAAACTAGGCAGGACCAAAGACAAATTATTTGTTTGTTTGTAAACTGTACTTATATTTTAAATATACTGTATTTTTGTAATGGGGCTTCCCCCCATTGAAATTGTTAAAATATCAGAGTTCATTTTTCCAGAAAGGAAAAAGAATTAAACTGTAAACAAAAAAAAGTGCTGAGAGAGGTAATATTTTTGTTGTTCTTTTCTTTTTTTTGGGGGGGGGGGTATTTTTTGGGGGTATATCCTACCCACCACCATCAGACCAAAATCCTGGATATGGCCCTGAAGCTATGATTGTGATTTAATAACTAAAAGTTTAGAAATTAAAAATCTATCAAAGGAAGCTTTATGACAAATAGATTGTAAAAAAAAAGGTAAATAATTCCAGCTTTTAGATGATACTTATGATTTTATTAGCTTTACAAGCATGGAGTTGTAAAACAAAAAGTGCATTAATTGAACTTTATAATTTTTTTATATCACCAATTCAAAAATTCACTATTTTTAGACAATTTTAGCACAAAATAAGAAACAAAACATTTACAAAAACAACATATCTGCAGTTCAATTTTGTATTTGACAAGATTCATCTACATAGGAATAATATACCCTTTGTATAGTTTTGTTTACTGAGAACAAAAAATAACTTGTAAAATAAACAACTTACAATACAATATCTAGTGAAATGTATACAAGGTGATATATTTATACATCACACTATGATATACACATACTATACAAAATATGTGAAATACTCCACCTCCCTATTATACAAGTTGATTACTCCCACATTATTCTACATTAATATTGACCAAATATTGATCCAGAAAAATGAGTTCAGCTTACCTCTAAGTCTTCACTTAGTTCTTGAGCAGCTTTCAATTTATTTTCATCCTCTGTTAAATACATTTTATTCATGTTAGTACTGATGTTATTTTATATGGGAAGAAAACAGATATTCATTCTTAATGATAGAACTTGTATTCTGCCAAATATATATATATATATTCAGTGCTTGTACATTTTTTTTTTATTCAAAATCAAGCAATTTCAAGATTAATTTAGCATCTTACATTGTTGCCTACTGTAACAAGGGAAACTAGCATTCACAGGATTACCAAGTCGTTATGTAAGTTTTACCATGTGATAGTTATAAAGAGAAAATTATAAAAATCTATGAAGTTTCAGTACCTTAAACATTGTGTGTGATCATGTCTCACTGTTAGAGATAAAACTTTGTACAGAAATAAACACAACAAATAACTGTTCGAAAACTTCATATTGTTTATAAGTTAAGTGGATACCTCTTGAAAAGCAAGTGATAAAAACCTATTGATTTAGAATATGAGATAACTATAATTTTCAAATTATTTTTAACTCACAATCATTAATCCAGACATTAGTATGAATTGGAAACTTTTTTCAATGCATAAGCTACCAAAAACAAGAAACAAAACATGTATTGATTTATGTAATAAATGTATATTTATTATATTAAACTATAACTGACACAGGCTTCTACAAATTGAAAAAAATGTATTCTAAGCTAACCAAACATTAAAACAAAATAATTTGTAAGTAGCTAACCATATTTTATCATTATTTATCCTATGTTACTAGTGGTACTAATGATCTTCTTATCAACACAATCTTTCTATTTTCCCTCAGGTACTTTTGAAAAAAAACAACAAAGATCATTTGTTGTGTTTAATGGTAACTTTCTTCACCAAGCTACATGTATATTCCTTTTGTCCTCCCATACTCATTATTGATGCTGGTGCACTATAACTTCACTGCATAATATAATTTGAATAGTTTATACATAAAGCTTTTTAATTCCACCAAATCAAGTCCTATTTGACAGTAAGTCAAAACAATCCACATTGTTTAACCAAGCATGATGCTATGAAGAAAACAGATAATTCCTTTGGCTTCAAGCAGGCTTAATGGTGAGTTTGGAGAAATTTCAACTTACAACAAGTATGTGAGAGAGATAAAATATAAACAATTTAGTTATATCTTTTAACCCTAAGTACATGAGATTAGTCTATTGGACCAAGTCCATACAAGAAAATTAATATTTACCATGATTCCAAATTTACTTAGTGTATCTTACAAAACTTTAAGATCTTAGTAGACATTACAAGTATGTTGTACATAAAAAATTGCTGCTAAAGATTAATCTCTAAATTTACTTTGGTCAGTCTGACTCATATTCTGACTAGTCTGAGTGAAAGGTAATTTTCATGTTTACAATAAAAGTACTTTTTGTCATCTTACAGTTTTCAAATTTCATTAGCATGATCTCTGAAACCTCCTAAATGAATATTAAGTTGTTTTATTCTAGTAGTACTTTATATTTCATCTGTTATTACCCCAATCCTAACACTATATGGGCTTGGTCCATTTGTCCAGCCTTATAATCATAACAAAAACAACAAAAATGGAATAAATCTAAAATACTCTTTTTTCTTTCTAAAATGACTGCACACTGTAACAAAAAATTACAATTATTTATCTCCAACAGCCTCAGGCTCATAACAGTTTACATCTGTTTTCATTTAATTTTATTGTTTTATTGCTCTTTAAACCACTGCTAAACCTGTGTAATTGTTATAAATCACCAACTGAGTGCATAGTTCGAATTATGGTAAACAGAATATTAAGTTAAATAATGCACAAGGAGCTCACATGTATACCTTACAGAGAAATGTCAGTATTTAATTTTTTTTAATTTATGTTTTTTTATCTAACCTAAGTTTCTGAATTTTTACATTTAACTTACTTTATAACAAACAATATACTTAAAAGACAAGAAATGTATTACTTAATTATGGACTCTTGTTTGTTTGTTTTATCTCAGCCTCCTGACAAAACTTAACTCTATTTTTGTAACAATGGCAGGAGTACATTAAATTAGCTTTACTTATTTCAAATATACAACTAAGAAAACTAAATAAAAGCAAACAAAAAATGTAATGACCTAAAACTTATAACTTAACTGGCTTTCCAACTAAGAAATAAGTGGATTAAAATAATACCCTTACCTGGGCAATAGCAACAATGAATCTGTAGGCCGCTTAAGTCAAAACTTTCCAAAAGAATGAGCTAATCTTATAGGGAAATCAGTAAACTGAAATCTTATCTTTCTATTGGTTATAAATAATCCAACAACAAGTGTCAGAGAGAATTACTGACATATATTAAAAGAAGAAAGTGATAAGAGGGCATAGCATGTAGGTTTGACTTTCTTGTTCATATCTCCACAAAGAAAAAGACTGGATGCTATAAACTTAATTTATATATTAGCAATATCTATACTACAGCTCACTGGATTGAAATCTGGCTGGATTGAAGAAAGCAGAGGGTTGTTATATATGAAGTCCAATCAAACTGGATTAATTTCACAAGTGAGGTACCTCAGGGATAAGTGTTGGGACTTTTGCTCTTTTTGATTTATATAAATGTCATATATAAAGGAATGGTCAATAGATTATTTAAAGTTTTGGGTGCTGCTGATTGTGAGGATGATGCTGTTGTTTTACAAAAGGATTTGGATGATTTGGGCATTCAAATAACAGATGGCTTTTAACTATAACATTTGCTGTTATGTTAAACTTATATTAAAGTTTTTCTTCATTAACCATTCAAGCCGTTTCCATGCATTATTAGTCTCAAAGTGGGTTCCTCGTCATTGAAAATGAAAGGTAATGCATTTGGGATATTACAATTTTAATTATAACTATAATTTTGAGGAAAATAACTTTAACAGTGTTGAAGAGAAAGATCTTGGTGTTCTGGTTTATCAGTCTCTAATGCTATACAAGCAATATGCTGTTGCTAGTGGCAAGGAAAATATGATTCTAGGTTATATCTACAGAAGTGTTTCATACAAGTTTAAAATATTTATAAAATCATTGTACAGCTCAATGGTTAGGCCACATTTGGAGTACTGTGTTCAGTTCTTGGCTCCTTACCTCAGAAAAAACATAGAATTGTTGAAATAGGAGGGTTACAAGTATGATACCTGGGATGGAAAGGTTGTCTTACAAGGATAGGTAAGATCTCTGAACTTATTTTCTATAGAAAACAGAAGAGTTAGAGGGATCTGATTGAGGTGTTTAAGACTACTAAAGGAATTTTTAGTGTTGATGCATCATCAACTTTTCATATATAATGGCAAATTGGTAAATTTTGGCATGGTAGGAGTAATCTTCAACAAAATTAGCTTTATTTTTCTAACTGAGTGGTTGCCCTTAAGGACAAACTAATGATAAAGACTGGCTTTGAGTTTTTAGTCTTTAATTTATTGAATAGGATGGCCTAGATGAACCAAAAGGTACCTTATTATCATTTAGAAATATATTAAGCATTACATAAAGTTCCTAGGAGAAAACCCTGTACTATCTATAATAAAAGCTAAATCAGTTTTGAAAAAAGAAAATAACTTAAGCTGTGCTAAAAAGTGATGACCTTAAAAACATAAATAAATGAATATAAGTTTCAAATGGACAGCAACTGTATTTTTAGGTTTCTACAAATGACAGTTGCCGTCCATTTGAAACTTAGATTCATTATGAATACTCTGCATAAACAACCTATCAAAGATAGTATTTATGTTATTTCAGTTATTTCAATTAATCAATTATTGCAATAATCGAAAACAGAACTAAGTAGAAACACTACCTTTGATAAATTGATTACTTTACCAATCTCTATCGAGGTGAAACATTCAATCCACTACCACAGCCCTAAGCTTCTGAGACATGATAGATCAACAACCAAATGAGGGGGTTGTGGGTCCAAAAGAGAATGTCTAGAGCAAGGGAAGCAGAGTGCCTCCCTGTCAGTGGATGTAAGAAATGAAACAGTAGGTGGACTGAGCTCCCACAAGTTGCATCCAAGACCCATGATGGCCAGCCTTCATAGAAGGGGAGGGGACATTGGATAGAAACAAGAAGACTAGGATAAGGAGAGGCATTGACCCCATGAGATTGTAGAGGATGATAAACTTAGTGGGTTCCCCTGGACCTCACAAAAACAAAACAAAAAAAAACTAGAAACACTTTTAATTTTCTTTATTAATGAAAGAAGAAAATCTCAGGCAGGGTGAAAAAACACATATGTGCAAATTTCCACATGTAAAGCTGGCAGGGTTGCAATATAAAGCCATGAAAAGAAGATGAAGTGTGGAAAGATACCAAAGAAACTGAGTATGTAGGAAATGAAGATGAGCAAATGGAGAGTGAGAGAGAGTAAAAGAAGAAAACAGAGAAGATCTCCAAGATGAAAGAACAGACTCAAGCAATGGAGGCTCATGCAACAAGGAAGCCCAAGATCCAGTAAAAACAACTGGAGAAAAAGAAAACAAAAGACCAAGTAATCCAAGCACTGAAGGATGAGGATGGGATTACCTGATTCTCATTGGGAAGAGGGAACTAAAATCAAGCATGAAAACAAGATTGGTGAAACCCATTGAATGACAAGGCAGTAATATCACTGGCAATCAGAGTGAATCCAGTTGCCATTAAAATATTGGATGATTCCTGTTGAGGAATGGTAAAGCCTTGGGAGATGTCAGAAAAATGGAAATACTACAATAATCCAGATGATCTACAAAGCCAATGTTTTTTTTTTGCTCTAACAAAGACACATTTGAACAAAATAAGCCAAGGAAAGAGTAAGTCTTTGTTCAAATGCTAGTGCTCATGGGGATTATTGTACTTAGAGCGTGTATCACACTCCTATTAGTGGAGAGCTATAGTATAATAATGATTTCATCACAGGCTAATGCAGTACATGTTAATATATATATAAGGGTGGGAGCTTCATTCAAGGCTTGTGGCATGCACAAAACAATTCATAGCAGTTACATGATATAATAGTTCTTTGTTGTGAAGAAAGAGGTGAGTAACAATTATGAAAAATAAACACCATTAACCCATTAGGTACCAAATTATAGCATAATTGAATACAGTTTCACATTTTGTTTTCTCTTTAAATTTAATCTCTTATTTGATGTTAAAGTTTGTTTATAATGGCAAAAGTATTTCCTTAATAAATTGGTGTCTTACAGGCTAAAATGTGGTAAATTCATAGAGATTAATTTTGTTTAAAGTCAAGTCATATATCACATATATATATTTTTACAATGCTTTTTAGCCTCCACCAAAAATTCTCTATTGTTACTTTGCTTAAGTTTTCTCTACATAATCAATTGAAAATTTCTGAAACAAAATGAGAAAACAATCACTTTTGTTCCATTGAGTTTGTCAGTTTGAGATAATATTATCTAACCAACAGAAAGCTTACGAAAAATTAAAAAATACAGGCAAGTGTTTAAATATATTTGATGCATTCTTGGTATTTCTGGACAGTTCAACTTCACATGATAAACTGATCTGACACTAAAAATGTTCAATTCACCATTATGGCATCTACATACACTTAATTTCCATTTTGCAACTGTGTGACAATTTTATTTTAATTCTATGTTTCAAAATATTTTTGTTAACATAATAATTGATTTAAAAAGATAGAGAAACAACTTACTGGCAACAGGATCCACAAGCATTGATACAAAAGATCTATATGCATTAATCTGTGCAACAGGATCCTGGTTGAGAGCAGGGGGTACCATTCTTGACATGATTACAACATCTGCTTATCAGGTATACGTAGCTCTAGTTAACTGGCACTCTTACAATGTAAGGTATTCTGGATGTTAACACTGAAAGAAATGGATTAAAATTTAAGAGGACTAGAATACAAAAGGTTTGAAGAAGAACACTAAAATATTTTGAGGGTTTAACCAACATCTACTGAAAAAGTATGAGACAAATTATAATCAGTTTCTAAATACAAATGTATGCTTTGAACAAAACAGGTATTTTAATTTGATTACCTCTACCTCTGCTGTTTTTAAAGTTTCACTCATGATCAGGTTGAAACAGCTGTCCCATAAGTTGATCCTTGTGCTTCTCAATGATCTCACTTTCATGCTGTTATTCTACTTGGAAAACAGAACTGAACCATCATAAGGCAGACAAAGATTTTATTCTGTCTGATTTAATGGTTTTAAACTGTGGGATATAGACCATTCAATCCCTATGCACGACTAAGCTAAATATCTACCAGCAAAGAATATAAAATAAGAACCTGCTATCTTTATTATTTTCTCAGATATTGTTATATTTAGTTAATCAACCAAGGTGGCCCCACCCAGCTCTTCCATTTTTGGAAATACTTGCTTACGTACACCTACTTCATCCAATTACATATGTGTATAACCAATCAAAAGCTCAGAAAGTCCCCTACATGGTTTTCTTAGCCTCTGTGAAGTGTTTTTGTGGGAAGACCTTTCTTTTCATGGTAAAATCAAAGCAGTAAGGTAGGAGATTATAGAGCTACTATGCCAAAAAGAAAGAACTTTTGCACGTGGATGATATGAAACAAAATATTTTTTTTAGGTTTATATATACATTTGAATAACTAAAAAATCATAAATTACAACATCAATACCATAGAATTCAACTATAATTTATCAAGTTTAGTAACTAAGATGTATTTTACTCTAAAGAAATATGAAATTTCGAGTAGACTAAAGACACAACCCACCTCATTGAAATCTTGATTTAAAAGAAAGAAATGATGCTAGGTACATTGGAAAGGCTTAGAAAACCACTAGGGGGACATTCTGAGCTTCTGATTGGTTAATCATGTCATATATAGAAGGGTTTATAAGAAAGCATTTCTAAAAATGGAAGGAGGTGAGCGGGGTGCCACTGTGTTTGATTTATTACATGAGCAATATCTTAGCAAATAGAAAAGATAAGAACTTCTTATTTTATATTCTTGCTTATAAACATCTGTCATTTGAGTTTCTGATTTGTATGAAACTATAGACTTAGTATTTTGACTTCACTAACATCTAATTTGAACCAGTGCTGCATTCAACATACCACGTGACACACAAAAATCTGTTTTTTTAATAATTACTTTTAAACTAACAAATTGAGTAATATATAGTTTAAAATTTGAATTATAATCTAAAGTTTGATACCAAACTTATTGACATAAATTCATAAAATAGTTGTTCCATATAATTTTGAATGCGAGTCAACAAAAGAGATGACATGGCCTTTCACCTGTGACCCGTATGGGAAGGGTTAAGGGGTCTTGGTCCTTATATCCCACATTGGTGACTAGGGCAATTGGGCTGCAATGTTATGTATAGATATACTTTTGCTTGGATCTCAATCTGTAGCTACGGGGTGATGCGTTCCAAACCACTGAAATACCGGCGAGAAAGTAAACAACTCCGATGTGGACAAACCTTCTTCTCCACCTACAGAAGCCCGAAAGGCAACACCTCAGGCTTAGAATGACAATATCATGAATGCCTTACTAAACCAAAAGAACAGAACTCATGCAGGCCAGAATTATGATCATTCATTCTCACTCCCCAACCAAGTGGGCAAGGAGCTTTCCACTTGCCCCCAGAATTATGGGCAGGATGTGGAACAGCTGTACTCAACCAAGGACCCAGGATGGGACTACTCTGCTTTCAGAATTATGAGGAGATATGAACCTCCTTCCATGAATAACATACTGAACCGATATTGACCAAAAAGAAGGCCCATGCACAAAACAACCACATAGCAAAGCATCAAATGTGAACCAATACTATGAGTAGGCTCCCACATAGGCTGGCACTGCTCCTACCAGTATCTGAGAAAAACATCCAGGGATGCGGGTAGGAGGGCCCCCAGCTTTGTCCTATTCTCCAACAGTGGAGGAATTCACTCTAACACTCTGGAGGAAAAGCCTCTGTCTCTTGATCAAACAGACAAGTGAAGAAATCCATAAGAAGAGGAATAGAGGAGATCCAAGGTTTGACAACAAAGGGAAGGAGAATGGATGCCATCTTGGTGATTGATATAAGCTATCACTGTAGAATTTTCAGAATGGATCATGACCAGATGATTTCTGGCAAGATGAAGAAAATGATCCAAAGCACAATGTACAGCCAGAAGCTCCAGGATGTTGATATAGTAAGACCTCTTGGCCAGAGACCAATAACCTGAAGCTTCCTGCTAATCAAACCATGCTCCCTCCCTCCCCCAGCCATGGAGGGAAGCATCTTTGAAGATATACAAATCCGGACGAGGATGAGGAAGTGGAACACCCACTGACATGTGGGTCTTGTCCAACGACCAATGCATTTCGTCAATACGAGGAGGAAGGGAAATAGATGCATCCAAGGGATCCTGCACAAGGTTCTGCTGATCATGCAGAGTCCCCTGCAGAGACCTCATACATGCTTAACTCAAGGGGATAAGGGTTTCCATGGAAGACCACATCCTCAAAAGTGATAGCACCTCGCAAGCAGTAATAGAAGGAGCATTAAAGGCATGGAGAACTGAAAGGAGGAGGAGAATGGATCTTACTGAGATGAGTGTTGAAAAAGACACACAAGTGGACAAGATATTGGATAGGTATAAGGAATGACTTCTGTAACTTGATCAACCAAAACACACAAGCTGCCTCCAAAAGAAGCAGATGAGTGTGATGGGCAGACTCCCATTCAGAATGAGCTAACAGAACCAGTCATCCATGTAATGGTGTAAGCTCAACCTCCGAGCATGCATATGTCAGGCAATGGCCTTTACCACTCAACAAAAGACATACAGGGCTGAGGCAAGCCCAAATTGAAAGTGATACACTACCCCGTGATGACCAAACCAAAGATAGTGCCTTGAGCAACAAGGTATAAAAATATGCAGATAAACATTCACCTCAAGGTGAGAAAAACTCCATGGTAAAACAAGACAAAATCCAAAATTGATTGAGATGGGACAGATCAATCACAGAACGCCAATCCCCTGTTTTCTTTGGTACTACAAACAGCCTAGAATAAAAACCTGGAGAAGAATAAGGTACAGGTTCAATGGCTTTCTGGGAGAAAAGATTCTGTACTGCCTCAGACAGATGTTGACTAGTGGTAGGATCCTGAGACAACAGAAATGATATAGTAATGGTTGGAGATGGCTTGAATGGGTAATGAAGAAAAACTTTAATATAAGTTTAACATAACAGCAAACGTACAACGTTTCGACAAGGTTTTGTCATCATTGGGTACCTGATGAAAAAAATGAGAATAACAATTCCACTTTGGAATAAGTTACAAAACACTTCAATGTAGAAACAAAATTCAGTAAGTTGAAAAAAAAAACACTACTGAAGAGCATGAAGAAAAAATATCTTGATATGAATATTGCCAAATCAAAAGTGATAGTTCAGTAGAATCAAATAGGGGAGTCACGTGCATTACGATGGTGTGTCGTACTCCTATTGGTGGAAGACTGTCATGATGATTTATATGCGAGATGCAGTTGAACCATATCGATCGTGTAACAGGCAAAAAACTTTTTGCATATAGAAAGTAGTACTGAATGAGAATAGCTATATGTGTGAGAAGAGGTAATGTACAGTATTGGAAGTTGCAATTATGCGGTGCATGTGCACTCCTGTTACTGTATTCAGTGGTATAAAACTGGCCTTTACAAAGTGACCTGTCTTGGCCTTGTTCTGGTAGACCAGTATTCTGTAAAATACAGTCCCATTTCAGTTAAAATACATTATATGTGTATACGTATATTATAACTATTTACAAATAAGTTCTCAAATTTCAGTAATTTTTCGTAAAACATAGAGCAGTAAATAAAGAAGTATAGAAAAAAAATGATCTCTTCTAGTTAAGAACTTGTTTGTCGCTTGCCGTAATTTGCCATGCCTTGTCAAATTTTGCATGTGGAAATACCTAAAAATCATAAATTCATGTATCAATACCATAGAAATCCACTATAATTTATCAGGCATACCAACTAAGCTGTATTTGGGTCTAAAAATATATCTCAAACAACATTTTCACTTACCCCTTCCTTCCCAGATTTGTGAAAAAAAAGAAAAAAATCTTGGGAACTTTCCACTTTCAAGAGCCAGAAAACCATGTGGAGGAAATTCTGAGCTTTTGATTTGTTATAAAGCCACGAAGGAGCGAAGCTGGTGTACGTAAGAAAATATTTCCAAAAATTGAATAAGTGGGTGTGGCCACTGTGTTTGATTCACTAAATATAGTAATATCTCAGCAAAAGATAGGAGGTTCTTATTTTATATTTTAGCTTGTCAATATCAGTAATTTGAGTTTTTAATTTATAAGAAACTATAGACTTTGTATTTGAACATCACAAACATCTAATTTGCTGTATTCATCATACCACACGACACACAAAAATCAACATTTAGGATATTTTTTTAATATTTAGTTTTATATTAAGAAATTAACTAATGTATAATACTAGAATCTGAATTATAATCTACAATTTGATACCAATCTTATTGACAGACATTCATAAAATAGTAGTTCAATAAAATTTTGAATGAAACTACAAACGTGATGACATGCCCTTTAACCCCTGATAATAGGAAGACCCAGTGAGAAAGTTAACAACACAAGTTCAAAGTAGTCATGCTGGCATAATTTTAAGCAAAGTGCTCATAATAATAACAGAGTGTAATTATTAGGAACCTTAGGAACTGTAAACTCCAGAATTTTAAACCTAATTAGCAACTTTATGAGAAACAAAGACTTTATAAAAATGTTTCAAATAACTACCAAAAAAAAAATCATTACCCAAAACACTGACAAAGCCAAACAATGTAGGTATG